ACTTTGCAAGCTTAACAGTCTCTTCATTTTTTTTACTATATGAAATTTCCTAGAATTTTAATTACTTTAAAAGAACAAAACATTGTACTTTCATGGTTTCCCTAGACCCGGGGTCGGCAACGTTCGGTACGCGGCCCGCCAGGGTGCTTACCTTGGCGAGCTGCGTGCCGAACGTTGCCGACCCCTGCCCTAGACAGTAGTCCTGATTCTCCTCTCATTTTTGCACCAGGACAAACTAGAAGTAACCTCACTCAAGTCAGGAGAGTTACACTGATGTTTGTGAGCAAGTGCAGGAAAAAAAAAGACATGTTTTCTAAACACTCCCAAAAGAAATCTTGGCACGTGTCACAACATTGAAATTATTCTGTCTTGTCTCCATCATTGAGCATGAACTTGGTTGAACACTGAATCATCCAGGGCCCAATACATTTTACTTCAACATGGAATTAACTGTGCATGTTTGCACAGCACAGTCCTCATCAATTAGAATATTATGAAAGACTTAAAGTATTGCCGTGGTTTAAACAAATTACTGCACTTGTGTGAAACATGCTTTCCAAATGTCCATAACTAAAACAAATCAAACCCCCAGAACCTTGAAAGGCACGAGTCCCTTCCAAGGGCTGTATTAATGTCAAGTTTCGACTTCTGTTTGCTTGTCAGTAGAGCTGTTTAAAAAGCAACATTGAAAAAAAAAATCTAATGGAAATAGTGCTTTAAAAAAATCATATTCCTTTTTAAAAAAGGATGAACTGGTTTTGTTCAAGCTCTCCATAAATATGCACCCTCAGGGAGAGACTAGACCTGGACATATTCCGCCAAAAAGATGAAAATCTTAGGAAGTTAGAGCAACTGAATATAGAATCCTGGAATGGAAGTTTTAGACAACTCCAACCATAGCTTTTGCCTGTGCTCTAGTTATTATAACACTCTAATAAAGCTACTACAATTATATCCACTGAATGAGTGTCCTTAAATAGGATAGGTCAGCTCAAAAATATTACTCATATGCCACAGGCTGATCTCATTATTTTGTGATACTGGTAGAGATAATAAGTAGCCCAGAGTCATAAAGAATAATGCCTTGTGCAAACTATTTTGTTTAAGGGCATGATGTTTCATATTCCTACCCACTAACATCAGCGTGCACAGAAGCCTAGTTTTGGGATTTCTGATTTGTTCTTTTCTTCTAACTAGTACCAATAACCAGTCTGAGCTTGTTAATACAATGATTTTAAAACAAAAAATACACTTAAGAGAGAGGAATTGACTTGGGAGAGCTGGAAGAGAGGCTAATGGCCTGACTATCTAAAATAGACAGATTACATACTGTTTCCAAATAAAATGAGTTATTTTTCTATGTGTATTCTTTCTTCGTGCAACCAGTAGTCTCACATCAAATGCACATGGTTTCCTGAAGGACTCATTCCATGTTTACTGCAGAGAGTTCAGGTGGAAGGAAAGCAATATTTTTTCATGATCATTAAAGTCTGCTTTTCTCCCTATTACTCTTCAGAAAAATCCACAATCTGGTGTCACAAATATTTCAGCTGCTAGCAATTAGAGACTGTGTGAAAGGCCTGTTGTTTCCAAAGTGTTCCAAACCTGATATTTCAGATCCAGTGCTATGGATTATAACACAGAGACTGGATCAGTGTGAACAAGGAGAAATAACCATTTTCCTCACTAGAAAACTGCTAAAGAAAAGTTAGTTTTATGACCTAAATATAATGTTCATGTCCAAATTCATAGGCTAGAGTGTATTGGTAACGTAAAGAGTTTTTACTTGATTTGGATACCTGGATGCAATATTTGCTCTACTTGTCTGTGAATCAATAAATACACTCTGTAATCTAAGGATAGATTTTTCAAATCACAATGGAATGGTTGGGAGAGACATTATATTTAAAAGTAAAATGAAAACAAAATATCTCATAAGAGTATCTTAATGTAGAAGATTATAATTCTTGAAAGTGAAACCCTGGTGGATGTTAGAATTTCAGTTTAATTATGAAGACTTCTACTCATTGATTTAATATGAAACTCTGTATCTCTACTTTCCTGTCTGCTTTGTTATTTTCCATATTGATTTCTCCTTCCCAAGTTTTAGGGCTCAAAGTCTATGCCCTGCCCTAGGGGTTTATGCATTAGTTTGGTAGTGTGAAGCTTATGGTCTTTTTATGGAAGGAGAATATTTGTTTATAGATTTTGCATTAGAAAGACAAACTTTTGTGCACTGTGGGAGACTTACCTATTTTTTTACTTGCTTCCTTTCCCAAAATTACTATAAAGAAGAGAGAGCCAGAAAGAGCGAAGAGACCTCAGTAGAATAAATAGAAGGAAAAGTCTGAGGAAAGAGGAAATGCAGCTAGAAAGGGCAAAGATGCCAGAAAAAATGACAGCAGAGAGGCGTGGCATCTGAACAAACAAAGGAATCTAAATATTAAGACGTTTGAGAAAAGAATGAAAATCTGACACCAAAAATCTGAAGTTGAAAATAGAGACAGCCAGGAAGGTAACATGACCCTCAAAAGCTATTCAGCTCATGAAAACACATTTTCAGTTTTGTGCCTAATTAAATCATAGCAGAGCCATAGCAATAAATTGACAATTAACTAGTCAGCCAACCTGATGTAGAGCACCAACAATTTTGCGAGCTTCTTGGTAAACTGTTTCCGAGCTCCAATGTCTGTTCAGTTTTTTCAGTGCTTTAGCCAGGCGGTTGTGTTCTCGCAGCCACAAGGTGTGCATAGCTGTCAATGAGATTACTTCACTAGACCTGCTGTCCCCAGCCATAAAGCATTCGATCCTTTCAGCTTCATCTGAGTTAGGGTCTTGTGCACAGGGAGATGGGACCTGGTCTACAAAAGGCAAGTATTCCCGATCATTATCATAATATCGCACATTTGTTCTAAGGAGGCCTTCTTTGCTTGTAAAATTCCTTAGTTTGTTTTCAACAGCAGGCGTGCTGCCATAGACAGTGGAAGCATCAAGGAAAGAGGTTAAACCATTGATCTGTTCTCTTGGCTTTAATGTTGATAGATTTCCAAAGAGAATGCTATGATCACCAGTGCCACATGCAGGAGATGAACGATAAAAAGGCATGCACTCTCTTCCTGTCGATAGCGTATCATTGGCAAATACCTGTGTAATAAAATAGACATTTTCTGCAGTGAAAATAACATAGCTGGACTGGAAGTGACTACTGCACTAAGGGTTCCATAAAGGTTTCCATTCTAAACCCTACATTTCAGTTGTTCATATCTTTTTGAAACACCTTTTTTCTGGACTAAAGTTTTCTAGGGTTGTCTCTGTGTTCTTTATTTAGGTATATATGTTTTTGAAGTTTGAGCAAAAATGGTCTAGCCATTTTTGAGAACAGGCAGAGTGAAAAAATATACTTTGTCCATTAAAAAAAACAATGTACTGCTATGTTTTCTGAACAATTCTTTGACTGAATTAAACCCATGAAATTCATCATCAAACAGGTCTCACTGAAGAGAATTGCCTGTGAGTTCTGGTAAAAATTGTTTTTCACATGATCAAGTTATGAGTCATTGAACATTGTGTGCTATAACAGATTTTGCATGAGTTTTCTCATTTCAGAAAGCCATGCTGCTTGCGCATGTGCAGCTAACCTAGCTGCCTACACTCAGATGTAGCGAAGGTGCCCATAGTCCGGAGCAGGACTGTGCAAAAGCTCTTGCTTCAGAGAGCTCGTCTTTGTACAGTGCATGTGGACCAGGGAGACTTCACCTCAGTTAGGGCCTGACCCAAAGCTCATTGAAATCAATGAAATATATGGAGAAGTTGTGATGTCAAATGACATCAACAACTCCTTTACTTCAATGAGTTTGGGATTATGCCCTAACTGGACATTTTGTGAATTGATTAGCAGGTGTGCACCATGGAGGCGTCTCCCCTGAACTTCTTAATCAACAGGCAGAGGAGGACAGGATTTCTTTACATTTTAGAAGAAACTCTGAGTCAGCTATTCTGTTTAAGAAAATAAAATTAATCACTAAAATAAAAACAATAATGTTTCAGAATGTCTGAAGTCTATCTGCCCTGTTTAATACAGAGCTGCTTTTATGAACTGCAGTTTTTTTGAAAATCCCATCATTTCCAGATTCTAACAGATCACCACGCACAGTGTAATTAGACATGGTGAGCCATAAAAAGGATGTGTCAAGGCCCAGAGTTTAAAAATACACACCTCCAATGAAAACTGCTGTTAAAAACATGATTTTGAGTTTCAAAGAATATGCAATTATGAACTTTTGGGAAAATCTATACTTTCTTACCCATTGATCTTTTACCATTGGTAAGGAAGTACAGGTACCACTTACTGAAGCTGCTGAAATATCCCCCAGAGGGTAACCATCTGCAGACGTTTGATAAAGTAAAACACATCTGCTTTGAAGAGACACCTGACCTAATCCGCTTTTTCTTTTCATCCTATTTGTTTGCTGTTAAATTTTCAAACAAATACTATAGCAGCAAAGAAGCATGGATAGACATATTAATGTTGCAGACATCCTACAAGGTGATATAATTACCTTTCAAATTTCTACATTGTTTTGCTTAGACTTTTGTTATTTAAACAAGTTAGTTCAGCAGGCTCCAAAACCAGTGTTGACATGTGCACAAATTTGAGACAGCTGGAATATCCTGTGAAAAGATCAAAGAGGTGTGGAGGGGCTGGAGGGAGATCATAGAAGCTAGAAGTCTCTTGGGGGTTATGGAAATAAAATCTGATTTAAGAGGGGTGAAAAAAGGCTAACGGGAACTGTGGAATGGAGCTTAACAGCTTTACATGGTGCTGGTATTTTTATCTCATTTGTTAAATAGATTTTTCTAACTACTGAAAGCTCATCACTGTAGGGAGTGCTATCATCATGTTAAAGCAATACTTGTTTATTTTCTAAGCCTATTAAAACCTGCCTGCTTAAGAAATCCTCTCACTTCTTTCCCCATTAGCTAAGTAGGATAATTTCAATGGTAGGTTATTATATTTTGTGAGTAAACATATATTTTGTTTATTTTGCTGTTTGTTCCTTCAGTTGTTAAAATCAATTATTTATTTTCCCTTGGGTTTCTAGTCTAGAGTTTGTCCCCATTACTAAGTCTTTTGCTGCTATGGTGGTCTCTGCTTCCCTGAAGCTGGTAGGGTGGGCAAAGGGCTAGGTTTCTATTCCAAATACAGTTTCTTCTGAGACTGACAGCTACAGAGTGCTGTCTGGATTTGACTACCTCTTGCTTCTAGTTATCAGGAAAGGATTGGAAGAGTTTGGCTATAATTGAAAGAAATGTATGTTTGGCCTTTAACTTAGTAAACAGAGAGGACCACAACAAAACAGACCAAGAGTCTGTGAAGTTCACAGTGAATATTCTTTGGTTAACTGCCTCTGCAATTTTAATTCAGATCATTCTGTGCCCCAGTGGAGGAAAGCAGCAGTAATGAACATTAAGGGACTGGCAGAACTGCATAATGAGTTCTTTTCTTTTTCATGGGCTAAGTAGTGTGCAGCCAGCAGCTCAATGAGCAAATGAAGGTTTCTTATGTTATTTTTTCAAATGATATCAAACATGACCTGGAAAAAAAGTGTTTTTTATTGAAATGAATATAAAATGGCATTTCTCTCTAAAATCAGTGAAGAATATTCTTATCAATCCATTTCTTTGCAAAGAATAATTAAGGAGGTAAAAAACAAAACAAAGAAATAAAAATAAAATAAAAAAACCCACCCAGCCTGGCTATGGTAGCTTTCCTGGGTCAGCTGCACATAAACTTAAAATTATATTATAAATGCACAAAAGAACATGCTGATTGTGAAGTGTAGCAGAATGAAAGTCACGAATTGTTTCAATGCACTGCATTGTCTAACTCCTATAGCGAACTGGTTCTGCGGAAAGTGACCACATGAAGAGAAGTGTTTGTTGCAGTTTTTTTAAAAGGAATTCAGGGTTTGTGGAAGTTTTCTATATTGATAGCAAGGATAACTCATATTCTCTGTTTATATACAGGAGATTCTGAGAGGCAGGGTAGTCCAGGGCTCAGAAGACAGACCTAAATTCTATTTCTGGCTCTGATACTAGCTTGCTGGGTGACCTTGAGCAAGTTATCTCTACTCTCTGTGCCTCAATTTCCTTTCTCACCTTTTGTGTCTTGTCTATTTACATTGTAAGTTTTTCAGAACTATCTCTTATTATGTCTCTGTACAGTGTCTAGCATAATGGGACATTGGGGATATCAGTTGGGGTCTCTAGAAACTACTGTAATACAATAAATAATAAACCAGAACAGAACCAGTACACTATGGAAGCCCTAATAATGCTTCATTGTGCCTTGACTCTGACCTGAAGTAACCATTGAGGGTGAAAAAGCATCTCAATCTCCCCATCCATTTAATTATGGGTCTATTTTACAGCCGATGCTGTTTTAAAGATATAAATTATGCTGGTGATTTTTGTCATTTATTGTTGAAAGACTCCATGCAGGAATCAGTCAGGGGTTGTAGTGGTCATACTGAAAAGGTTTCTTCTGTTTTGAAACATTCTAGTGGTTTGAAAGAGATTCCCTATACCTAACCCTCAAATCAGGAGAGATTAATTTAAAAAAAACAAAAAACGAGAGACAGAAAGCCCAGGTGGGACTTAGAAAATTAAGACTGCAACCTCTTTAATATGTACCTCTCTAAAACAAAAGGCTGAATATATTTCAATTAGACTGGGTTTAGGATGAATAGTTCTGACTACTGCAGTTCAGTTAGTGGATACCACGGGCTCAGATAGCAACTGTACACGAGGCTGCTGGGCTCAGAAAAAATCTAAACAACTCTGGCACATCTCTACTGAGAAAGATACAAAGGAAAACTCCTGTTTTTTATAGCCAGGTTTCTCCATTTAATTACGTCTCAGAGAGATTTCTTTGCATAGCCTGAGTTTCTGGATACAATATTTCCCACCTCTTCCTGTCCCAAAGAGTTATAGTGCTCTGTTAAAACAGCTGTGGTATCCCATCCCAGTACTGGATGAAGTGATCCCTTTACATCTTTCTGAAAGATATGAACTAACTCAACCAGAAGTTATGGGCTTGATGCAGGAATCCACTGAAATTCTGTGGCCTGAGTTATGCAAGAGGTCATACTAGATGACCGTAATGGTTCTTTTTGGCCTTAACATTTACGAATTCTGTACTTACATTACAAAATATGTGTTTTGAGATATCACTTGAAAACTAATAACTTACTGATCATTAATATTCTTGTATGATATATGTATACAATGAGTTATGGATATATTCTGGAATTAAAACTAACTAAAATATATTTGAACCAGGTATATAAGGAAGAGTTATTTAATAGGTCTATCCTAAACATAAGAATGTGTGTTTACCTCAGTTCACGTATAGGCAGTAAACAGACCCATCGGGCTGATGGGGGATAGAAGCAAACATAATGCTAGCAGGTGGGAGACAGGGCCGGCTCTGGCTTTTTTTGCCGCTCCAGGCAAAAAAGCCTCCCGCCTCCCGCCGCCCCCTGCCTCCCGGCGGGGAGCGCAGCAGAGGAGGGCGGCGAGCCCGGCCGCGGCCCCGCTCTCCTCGGGTGAGCGCCGCCCCCCTCCAGGTGCCGCCCCAAGCACATGCTTGGAGGGCTAGTGCCTGGAGCCAGCCCTGGTGGGAGAGAGGACAGCATGAAATCTGCACCCAGCAGGAGAGAGAAGTTTGGTCTGGTTTTACTTTTCAGAAGAATTAATTGCAAAGGTTTACTGGCTTATAAAGATGGGGAGGTTGAACCTCAAGTGATATGAAATTGAATCAACTGATAGTATACAATATTACTGTAGTATAAAAGCATATCGAGTAAGGTCTTTAGTGAAAGCTAAAGAAACACTGGTGATAAATATAATTGTGAACTGTATGTATTAGCATTATGTAAGGAATTACAGATACTCATTGATATTAGGTTGTAAAGTCTGCTCAGACAAGAGCAAATGTCACAGCTACTTACCTGTCTCTAATTAAGTATTATGGAATCAGAAACAATGGACGCCCCATTTCCATAAAAAACTTACAGGGTGGGGGCCAACCCACAGGAAGAGAGGAACAGCATGAGGTCATCCTGCCTCCTGAAACAAATTAATTGAACTATGGAAGATAGAAGTGAGGACAAAACCCATCTTTGACCAGGGCCGGCTCTAGGTTTTTTGCTGCCCCAAGCAAAAAATTTTTTGGCTGCCGCCCCCCCGCCCAGCCCTGGGCTCTCTCCCTCTCCCCCGCCCCAAACTGCAACCTCCTGCCGCCCAAGCCCTGGGTCACTGGTAACTTGCTCCCAGGGCGGGTCATTCAGCAGGAATTTTGGATGTGCACAGAACACAGACAGGACTGGTTCCCGCATGGTTACAGAACTGCAGTAAAGTGGAACAATTTTCAGCTTGTGTGACTGGAGGATATCTGGATGCATATTATAAGACTGTCCTACATAAATGAGGAAAAGTTGAGGTACCTTTATTATTCTTTTGTTCCATTCTTTGTTTTTATGGGGAATGCACTATCACGGTCTTCCTTTTAAACAAATAAAACTAAAACTTAAAAAAAAAAAGCAATGGCTGTTGAAAATATCAATTTCAGTACTAATAACCACTGGGAAGCATTTCTGGCTCAATTTATTCTACTTTTTCTACAGCAAGTTACAGTGGATCAATATATTTGATTTGGGGGAAATGAAGCAACAGCTGCCCAAATTGAGCTTGAGCATTCCTGAATTTTGAGGGTGTTCAAATTTGGAAGGCAGGTGCTAGATTCCCTTTCTGAATATTAGCTAAATCTGGAAAGGAAAAGTCAATTTCTGCTTCCATGGCTCAGAAGTGTAAATCCTTCTACATGCCTGGTACTGTATCTAAAGCTGCCCAGTCTAGTAGAGCCTCCCCTCCCATACTTTTCATTTTAAATTCTAGTGGGATCCACATACCTCCCTTGCTAGGCTTCAGATAGAGAGGTGCACCATCCAGTTAGTTCCCCCAATTCCTTCTTTGGGGGAGAGCCCAGGGCTGGGACGGCAGGAGGTGCGGGTGGGAAGGAAGAGCCCAGGGCTGGGGCAGCAGGGGCTGCGGGCCAGAGCTGGGATGGCAGGGAGTGTGTGTGGGGGGGGAGAGCCCAGGACTGGGGCAGCAGGAGGTGCAGGTGGGGGGAGAGCCCAGGGCTGGGACGGCAGGAGGTGCGGGTGGGAAGGAAGAGCCCAGGGCTGGGGCGACAGGAGGTGAGGGGGATGGAGGGGAAGAGCCCAGGGCTGGGGCGACAGGAGGTGAGGGGGATGGAGGGGAAGAGCCCAGGGCTG